TATATTTTATATTTATATATATAAATATTACTTTAATTAAGCTTTAAATTATTTATTAACTTCTTTATTCTTTTAAATATATATTATTAAAAATATTAAATAAATTAATGCTTTAATACCTTATAAGGCATATATAAATTATATATCTTTAAAGGGCTTATATTATATAGCTAGGCTATTGCTTAAGCTACCTTAAGCTATAACTTTTTTAAAAATGTTATTCCGAATAATATTTTTAATACCTTTTTAATTATTTCTTTTTTTACTTTTTTAACTCCTTTAGAACCTTCCTTTTAATAAAGTAGAAAAAGTTTAATATTAATTCCTTTATTTTCTATTTAAATCTTATAGTATATTTTACCTTTTATTATAATTATTACTTTTTTATTATTGCTTTAAAATTTATAAATAGGAAGTTAAAAATAATATATTATTTAATACTTAAACCTATATAGTTTATTAAAAACTTTATTTAATAATTTATTTATAAATAGGTATATTTAAATATAGTTATTAAATTTATCTTTAAATATAAATAATTAGTTTATACTATTATAACCTTTTAAGTAATTAAATAAGTTTTAATTAACTTTTTAAAATAGTTTTATAAAACGCCTTTTTAATATCCTTTTTAAAAATATTTAATAAATATATATTGTTATATAATCTTTATATTTAAGTTTAAATATATTTAATATTTTTATATTTTATACCTTATATATAAGCGTTTAAAGTATATATAGTTTTAAATATTTTAATTTAAAATATTATAACGTTTTTATATCCTTTTATAATTTTAAAGAATTATTTAATAACTTTTATAAATGCTTTCGTTTTTTAGCTTTATTAATATTTATAATTAATTTTATTACATTTATTAGAATTTTTATAGGGAAATTTACTATTAATATTATAAAGGATTTATTTAAATAAATAAAAATAGGTTTATATTTAAAAAATATTAAATTATATTATTTAATTAACTTTATTATAAAGATATTATTTTTAATTTTTTTAAAATATAATATATAGTTTAAATTATAATATTAAATTCCATTATTTTATAAATATACTTTAAAAATAATATTAATATAAAAACCTTTAATAAATGTTACCTTAATAAGCATTAAATTTATAAAATATAACCTATATTTATTATTAAGTATATTTTTAATAATTTTTTTCCTTATATTAAAAATTAAAAACTATATTATTTTTATATTTATTATTTTTTTATCTTTAATTAAAATAAATATATTTAATTTTAATAATTCTTTTTAATTTATTAAATATAATATATTATAATTATTAATAAATATATTATTTAATAATATATATAATATTTAATTAAAGGTTAAATATATTTTTAAATTAAATTTATTTAAAAAGTAGAATAGGTTAATAATTACTTTTATAAAGTAATTTTTATTAATAATTTAACATAAAAGTATAAAGTATAATTTATAAAATATTACACTCTTATTATTATAATTTAAGGAAAAGGAATATATTAATATATAAATTATTATTATTATTTATTTAAAGCTACATTATATAAAAATGCTTTAATGCTTTAAAAGCTTTTTAAAACTATATTACTTTTATTTATACTAATAATAAATACTTTTTTAATCTTATTAATATTAAATAAGTATGCCTTAATACTTTAAATACTTTTTAATAGCGGATTATTAGAATTATATAGAATTAAGGTACTATTTATAACGGAAGTATAGTTCCTTTTCCTTTAGGTTAAGTTTTATTAGGTATACCTTTAATAATAGAAGCATTAAACTAATTATAATATATACGATTTATTTATTAAGAAATTTCTTTTTCCTATTTAATTTTTAATTAAATAAAGTTCCCTTATAAATAACCTTTTATCTATTAATAAAAATAATTCTATATAAATTATTTTAATAAATATATTTATAATATATTTTAATATCCTTAATAATTTATTTATTTAATAGTTTTATTAAATATAGGTTGCTTTTTTTAATAATTATAAATTATAATCTTTTATACTTTTATAGTTTTTATAAATATATTTCTTTAAGGTTTAATATATATAGGTATAAATATCCTTTTTTTTTTTATATATTTTTAAGGACTTTTAAAAGGTATTATTATTTAAATTATTATTTAAAAAAGTTATATTAAATATTATAAAGATTACTATACTTTTATACCTTTATATATTATTTTTATTAATAAAGCCCTTAAATACTTTATTAAAATTATTTAATATTATAATTAATCTTTTTAATATTTTATTTTTAATAACTTTTATTAACTATATATTTATTTATAAAAGCATTATATATTATAAAAATGCTTTTAAAAAGTTTTTTATTATTAAAACTTTTTTAATATTTAAAATATCCTTTATTTTAATATATTAATATATTAAGTTTTATTTTTAATATTATTTTATTATATTAATATTTTTAATATTTACCCTTTTAAATATAATATAATAATTTTATTAAATTATTATTAAAATATTAAACTTTAATAAAGTAATAATATTTTAAAGCATTTTAATAAAGTTTTAAATTTATAGCTTATTATTATTAATAATTATTATATAAATAATTTTAAAGTAATTTTTATTAATTATATAATTAATTTAATTAAAAAATATATTATATTTAATTTTAAAAGTATTTTATTAAATTATTTTTAATAATTATATTATTATAATATTATTATATTATTTTTTAAACTTTTTATTATTAATATTTTTATTTAAAATTAATATTAATTTATTAAAATTATTATATTTTAATCCTTATTTAATTATAGCTTTAATATAAGCTATTTTTTTTTAAATTATAATATTTTCCTTTATAAATTCTTTTATAAGAATTAAAAGTATTTAAAGGTTTAAAAAAATATTAACCTTTTTAAACATTTATAAAAGATTTAAATTTATTATTTTTTAAATATTATATACTTTTATATATATTTAAAAATAAATAAATTAATTAGCTTAATTTTTAATTAAATATAATATAATATATAAATAAATTAAATTTATAATTTTAATAAATATTTATAATTAATAAAATTAAACTAATATTTTTAAATAATATTTTTAAAATTAAATTAAAAGTATTATTTTTATTATTTATTTTATAATAAAATGTATAAAAATTTTTAATTATATAGGCATTCTAGCTAATTCTTAAAGCGTAATGCCCCTGTTAAAAGCGCCCTTATAGGTACGCTTTTGCCGGGGCGTAATATACCCTTATTAAGGGTACACTATACCACTAGTTAGGAGCGCTGCGCCATTAGCGAAAGCGTTACGCCGTTAGTAAAAGCGCCGCGCCATTGGCGAAAGCGCTGCGCCGCTGGTAAAAGCACTATACCGCTCCGTCATAAAAGGCTAATTAAAAAACTTAATATATTATAAGGTATTAATAAAGGCTATAATAAAAATTAATTAATTTATATAAGCATTTTAAAAATAGTAAGCTAAAAGGTAAATTAAAGGAAGACTTATAAGTAATATAAAAAATTAACTATAAAGTAACTTAATTATAAACTTAAACTATTAATAAAATAAATAAATAAAAAGGAAAAAATTAAATAATACTTTAATTAAAAAATAAAGAAAAAAATAAAGCTATATTAAAATAAAATATAATTACTTTATAATAATAAAGTAAAAGCTTAATAGAAAAAGGGTATTATAAAAGTTTTATAAACTTTTAAAGTATAAAGTAACTTTAATAATATAAATATAAATTAAAAAGATAAGATTTAAAGCTTTCCTATATAAAAGGAGGGTTTTAAAGTTTTTAACCCCTCTTTATAAATATATAAAAGGTAAAGAAATTTTATAATATATAATCCTATAATATAAATTATTAAAAAATAAAAGGAAGATTTTAATTAAAAAGCTAATTAAAATATAGCTATAAATTAATAGGAACCTATAAATAATAATAAAAGACTTAATAAAGATAAAGGTAATTATAAAGTAATTATTAAGCATTAAAAGAATTATTATATATAATAAGGCTAAGGGGATTAAGGGGAGTAAAAAAGGGGGAATATAAGGAAAAAAGAACTTAAATAAAAGGGTAAAAAGGGCCCCCTTAAAGGTCCTTAAGGAAAAGGAGAAGGCCTTCCTTTCCTTTTTAAATAATTAAGGAATATAAGGAAAGTAAAAGAGTTTAAGCTTTTTTACTTTCCCTTTTCCTATTATATAATTAAACAATATATATTAACTTATATAGGGCTAAAAAGTAATAAGGTAATAGTTAAAGGTTATATAAGGTTTTTATTTAACTTTTATATAGTTTTACTTATAAATATATAGGTAAAAGGACTACGCTATATAAGCAGTATAATGGGTATATAATAATAATAATAATAAATAATCTTTTAAAAGTTAAATAGGTTAACTTAAGTAATTATATATATATTTTAATAAGTAATTTAAAAAATAATTAATAAGTGGGGTAAATAAATAAATTATTTAATTATTTAATATAAAAGGAGAATTATATAAATAGGAATATAAAATATAGTCTTTTTAACCGCAGGGATAACCTGTTATATATAGACCTAGCTGCTGCTTTATAGGGTGCCTTAAAGGGTGCCCTGAAGGGTTCCCTATCGAACCCATTGGAAGGTTCGAACCTATGACTTATACCCAGATGATTAATACCTTGCAGGTAAATTACCTAATTAGGTATTAGGTAAACAACCTGACTGACAAGCCTATCGGCACATTAGAGCTTTGAGGTACAATGGCTATGAAGTATGTTAATAAGATCATAGACCAAAATTTGAAAGGGTTGTTCAACATGCCCCCCTTTCAGCTTGGCGAGTAATTGGGCAGAGTGAGCAGCCAGTGATCCAGCCTTTAAAGACATAGTGAGTGTCATTTGACTGGGAGCAGGATAAAATTTTATTCCAAAATGATCCTTTACGTCAATGCATTTATATTATTATTATTGTTATTATTATTATTATTATAACTTCCTCACCCATCTCCCAAAAGATTAAAGAGACGACATATTCTGCCTCTGTGGACGTGACCGATTTTATCAAACCCACGTCTAAGTTTGAAAATCAAGAACTTTTCGTAATACGGCACTCATTGGCAGCGGGAAGCTCTACAGGGACCAACGAACCCGGCATCTCGGACCTCTGCTGCTCCCTACGAAACAAGAAGACTAAGTTAGCATAGCCACCCAAATTTCCATAGGATGATTATTGCAGAGAAAACATACGGACAATAGACCAGTGAGGTCTCAGAAGGAACATTATTAATAACCGCGGGAAGGCACAGCCGAAAGGAATTCCGGCGGGGGGTGGTTAAGGCCGAATTCATGCTCCAATGCCCGGAATTCTCAGGGTGTCCGGATACCGGTGACACGAAGTTTGATCCGTTCTGCAGCGGTGGCGGGCTTCTCAGCGCTGAATCACTAATTCCCGATGTATTTATCAGCGGGAGACTGTTTGGGTGGTCTCTGGCCTTTCGCCGTCGCCTCTTTTCTATTCGGCTTTGGCGAATGCAAGTGTATGCAAGGGCGGTGATTAATATCATCAGGGCTAGAGAGCTGATCGCTACGCCTGCGATTTCGCCGACTGATAGGCTGGGCATATCATCATCGGAATCTTGGCTGTCTGTTGGTGGTGACTCTGTTCGGTTCGATTCTGAAGGTAAGGGGTCTCCAGGTTGTAATTCGACAATGCTGGGATTGACTTGAAATCGACCGTCAGTGTTCTGCTCCACAACAAGGTATTATAGGGGCTTTAAAGCAGAAGCAGCGTCTGCACATTACCGAGGGTCCGCAGGTATGCATGGAGAAATAAGAGAAAGGAGGAACCTCTAGGGAAAGACTTACTGAAATAATCCTGCTGGGCTAATGTCCATGTGCTGTTCTCCAAAAATGTTGGAACTTGAAGCTAGTTATTATTTGAATGGGTTGACATACTGGATTGATCACCCCGATCATTCTGTTTGCTTTGCAAGAGCTTGCTAAGGCACTTCAGATGCTATTAGTATCATAGTTATACATGTTAGGAGCCGACATACCAGTAGAAGAACGTGGGCTGGGTATCGTTGACTGTGATGCTGAATGTAGGGTGCGAGCTCGGGGTCACATCAACTACATCGCCGCTCCAAAATCCTGTGGCTTCTGGCATTATATACTCGTAGGGCATACACTTCAATACGTTGATTTAGCAAAATATATTATAACGTAATGACGGGAGACTTCGATGCTTGAACGGACTCAGATCGACTAAGCCAGCTAGGCTATTTTGAAGGCTCCCAAAGTAAACACAGGACAAGGCATGATACTACTCACTGGGAAGCCGAACGCTGAGCGGGCAACTGAATGACCCGTTGACCAAAACTCGAATACTGGGAGCATAGTTAGAAATCCGTCCTTGGATATAGTAGATGCGTCATACTAATTTCGTCTCCCGGCTTTGCCGTGACCGTATTCGGAATAAATGAGAATGAACCCTAATAACATGTCAGCACATATAGTAGGATAGCCTAGATCACCAGAGTAGCATCGCTACCTTTCCAACCGCAATGACGATCTTTGAATTGTTCATTGGTGATCCCGGGGGCACTACCGGACTACCAGTGGTGGATAACGATACAACGACCCCAGACAACCACGTGGCTGTCAACAGAAGTTCTAGAAACGTCATGTTAGGCCAGCGCTAAGATCGAATAATCGGCAATACTGAAGAAAGATACAGTCAAATAGCGCGCTCTTCTGCGGATGGAAGATCAGCGCGGCTGGATACCCTGAACCGACAAGGTAAACTTCCCCTTTTGCAATATGATCGACGACAACGTTGAGGCCTGAGGAGAGTTTCTCTGATAGCACCTTAGGAGTCGTTTCTACTCAGATGTAGCGTAGCATGGTCTGAATCTATCTGTCCTATCTTACACGAAACGACTAGTATTACTGTGGCTGGGTTCAATGTTGTTTGCTTCGCTCTGCGGTCATTTACTACATCCCTACCGTCACAACGGGATAGCTTCTGGTAGGCTAGAAAAGAAAAAGCGTATCTGTTTACGCCCGTAAGAACATGGAAACGGCATGGACGAGGCTCAGAAACTTACCCTGAGCCCGGTGCTTTGGTCCCGAGCTGGCGCTAGCGAAGGACAATCTACAGGGCACAGACATGAATAATCTCATCCCTTCATCCTGTCCTGAAATGGCTAGTTTCTCAATTCTCCCTAATTACCGGGCTACTTGTAACCTAACCCCTTCAAGAAGCAGTTTGTACTGTTTGATGTCGAAGAGTAATCGTCGCAAAGGCTTGTGACATTAATCCCAGATTCAGTGACCTATGAAGTCACAAAGTCTTTTCGATGATTGTGGACTGAGATATGTCTTTACTTCTATAGATAGTGGACATCATCAGGGTTGTTCATAAGATAACTCGACGCAATACATAATGTTTCAATTCTTTGAGGGGTATCAATAATGGTGCATACATAAACTTAAATGTCGTGGTTTCAACCCGGCATGCTGAAGAAATGATTATTTAGTCTTGACCTTGTTCTTGTTGGCCCCTAGCAGGCCACTTTCCTGTATCAATTTCCAAAGGCACCACAGGTAGCAGAGGGAGAACCCAGAGAAACCTACACCAACATTGGCAACAACCCAGAGATCAGGCTTATCAGGAGGTGGGGTGATAGTCTGTTCTGCAATATGCCAAATTGTCATGGCGAGGTAGAAGAGACCATGGGTCAGCAATGTCGCCCATTGAAGCACAGCATTTTGGCCTTTAGGGAAATATGCACTAATAGAAAATGGTGGTAGGCCAAGTAGATACTCCCAAAGAGATGTGAGTACTACAAAGGGAACTTTCAGACCGACCCGTTGAAGCAGTGGGAACATCGTCCACGCTCCGAGAGTATTTGCAAATCCCACCCACGATCTGACCTCTTTGCCTAAGCCTTGCTTGCCAGCAAGGAGAAGTGTCATCGGGAGAAGCGGGAGAAGAACGCTTTTCTCATGGACCTGGTAGCTGAAGAGGAAAAAGCCCCATGCCGTAGAGGCAAGAGCGTAAGGAAGAAGTTCTTTACGAGGCCTTACAAGAAGGATGGCGCAAGGCGGAAAGATTGCTGCTAGAGTCGCCAACAGAGAAGCTCTCTGGAGGAGTTCAGCAGGATAGCCGCGGAGTTTGACAGCCACATTCGCCGCACACCAGAAATTAGCAACCTTATCCTCAAATAATCCTCGAGCGAATGGGAAGATTCGGTGTATCATTTGCACAATCTGTTCAATAACTGGATAATAAGCAGCCGACGTGTCTAGATATTGAGAGAGAAAAGCGAAGATGGGGAGCGGCGCCTGAGCTCCCTCAAGTTCAGGTCGCGAAACAATGCCTCTGCTCGTATCGTAGATGGTACCAAGAACAAATGGAAGGACCAATATGGCAAAAGATGCTACAGTCACAGCAGCAATGCCAAAGAACCGCGCCGAATTGATCCGAGGTGAAATGCAGGTACCCAACAAGAAAGCAAAGACGGCCGGAGCGTAATACAAGGCCATCTGCTTGAAGCCCAGGGCGCCAACGAAAAAGATAGATGCCCACATGTATCGACCAGCCAGCATGCTAGACATACTAGCAACTGCAAAGCCAAGCATCACAGTATTATACTGGAAGTGGATATGGTCGATGAGAATAGTGCTTGGTTGCAAAAGAATAGCGACAAGCGCGAGCGAGGCAGGCCATTGCGCCACGCCAAAAAGCCGGCTATATCTCCGAGTAAAGATGACAACGGCGGGGACATATATTAGATATTCGGAGACAATTACTGTGGCTCTCATGAATATTTTGAGGGTAGGGTCGTCCGAGCCACGGGACGTATAGAGGGCAAACCAGGAAGGATCGATAAATGACCCAATTCGACCGCACAACCAGCTGTGGTAAGCTGTGAGAGGAGGGTAATCGAGTCCCCACCATTGTAAGTCGTGGAAGTACCATTGCGAGATAGGGAGGTGTGTGGTGATTTCCATCCAATGCCTTTGAGCTTCATAGTCGCCGAACATAGGAGGTTTATTCTGACCTGGATCAAAAGCGAATCTGGGTCAGCATGCGACAAAAACAAAGAACGGAAAGGAATTGTACGGACCCGAGTACCCCCATAAGCCGGCAGCCCAGCGGAAGAGGCCCGCGGCCATGAGAATCAAGGGTAGTGTCTCCCATTGAGAAAGGGAAGTCCGAGCGGGCCATAAGAGAGCTTCTAGAGGAAAGCTGGGAGATCGAACGAGGGCTTCGGGCTTGACATTGGCGTCGAAGTGAGCTGTCTTTTTCGCTTTGCGCCGGGGCTTGTGTGGCGACGACATGGCTGAGGCAGTGGCCATAGTCACCGGGAGATCGGGAGGGAAGATTGGAGAGAGAATGACATGAAGTCGACACGGAGAGGTCCTGGTATATGTGGCCTGACCAGAAGGATTGATACGATGTTTGTGCTGATGGTTCTTCGCTGAGTAGAGCAAATCTCAAATAGGTGTAGCAAGTATCGTAATCAATTGGCGGGAACTGATTGGGAGCCCTGTAATGTTGTCATTCCAGGACCCTGGGAGGTAATTTAGCGTATTTTAGTTGCTAAATTAACTACCTAAGCTCGCTAAGTAACTGCAAGGCATTCTCGCAGATGGCATCATGGCCCACATCAGCAGCCAAGGACTCTCTGCTGGGGCCTCTGAAAGAAGCCGGTACTTTCATCCCCACCCAGAACATTGGAGACATGAGGTACCTCGATGGGCTCAGAGCTTGGCATCATTTGGAGATTCCATTCAGAGGAGTAGGTACCAGTAGACGGAGTCTTGATGCATTTGATATCTTGTTTATCCAAGCTTCGATCTCACGACATAGAGATAATACCGAGCATCTCTCTTGATGTAATGCAGTGGAAGCTTATACAAGATGCCTTTCCAATTCACACTACCGACCACATCGGCATTCTCCTTCTCATCAAGCTTCACAAGTGAATCACATCCCTCTCTGCCCCTCAATGCGAGCACACATCGAGGCGTAGTGAGAGATGGACTGAAAAAGTACAAAAGACTTCCACCGTCATCACAAGGCCAACATCTCCCCTCCATTATATCCAATATTAATGCCTACCTAGCCTATGCCTTCGCCATCGATGCTGGCTTGAGTCGTGCATCCTTGCAAGGGGAGGAGATTAGTGTTGTCCTAACATCTACGCCTACAATAGAATGGCGCCCAGCGATATCTGGCAATGCTGTCCCGGGCCGAGAAACACCGCGGATCAGAATCCAATCTCTGGAATATGACATATTCTTTGCACTCTCGACCTTGGGATACGCCTATACCCTGCGAGCTCGTGCCTCGCTTCACCCGCTTTATGTCACTTCAGGCGCTCCAATGAGCCCACAGGACCGTACAACGGCCATAACAACAGCCACGAAACATTTGTTGGACGCGGCCTCGGTGCATGACTACTTGGCTCGGCGTGCCGAAGCCCTCTCTACCGCCTCGCCCTGCCCAGATATCGCGCAGTCTACAGTCCGAGCCATGGCCTCTCTAGCTCTTGCAGAGGCCACGCTGCTAGCCGTCTTGAAGGATGATCCATATCCCGCCGTTGTTGCTCAAGATCGCAATGATAACGATCGCGAATGGATGTATAAGGCTCCCGAGATTCCTAAAGTACGAGCCCACTTATTTGCGCGACTATGCCTTGCGGCCGCCGACCATGCTGCTCAGGCTTCTTCTCTTTGTGAAGCAGTGAAGGGGAAAGGATCATCAAAGCTAAATGATGACTTGCTGCGATACCTAGACGATTTCCGAAAGACAAGCCGTGCAAAGGCATGTCGTTTCTTTGGTATCGATGCTGAGTTATCCGGCCAGACTGGCAATGCGCTTGGCTGGTTAAGATGCGGTTTTCAAGAACTCGGAATCGAACTAAAGGAGGCAAAAAAGGGGCTGAGTCTCAGTCGCATGAAGAAGGATTGGTCTGAAAGGAGGGAGGACAAAAAGATTGAGAGGGGTACGAATTGGGGATCTGAAGCTGGAAAGCTAGAAGAGACCAGAGTAATTGAGATGCTGGAGACCAAATGGACCAAAGTCAATGATACGGTAGGCTTCCCCTTGAAATTATATCCTGTACTGTACATTATAGCTAACTCTTCTCAGATGCTCACGCAGACGATACCGCCAATTACAACGATGTTATCGAGTCTTCCTTCGGGTAGGGATATTCATTCCATTAAACCATACCAAATGCCTGAGCTCTCCAAGCAAACCCTTGAGTCAATGCGCGTCGTCCCAGACCGAGCAGACGATTATGGGGGAGAACAGCTCAGCTCCGATGATGAGGACAGAACGGCGGTTGGAACGCCAGTGGGCGCGTTCCCAGGCACATCCGAGAATTACCGTAGCGAGAGCACCAGGTCCTACTATTAAGAATGTATAGAATGTCGCGATAGATGGACAATATCAGTCCCCACCCAGCCGTGTGGGGATACTATCAAGGCGAGTCGGTCTCCCAGGACGCCAAGCTTTTGTCACTGAAAGAATATATTTCGCCTCGAGCTTATCTAAGTTACTCAGCGGCAAATTTATCAGAAGGTCGTGACGATTGAACTGAAGTTTATGAGACACAGGTATCTTGCCCTTCCCATCGCTGAACTTCCCACAAGGTCCTAATCCAGAGTTGTACTAATATGTCATAGGATGTTTGACAACACGGCATATACATGATTCGAATAAGTATTGCAGTGCGAGAATGGTTTTATCAATTACCACCCCTTATATGTTTCTGGAGCTCTGTCCCCGAGTGGCGGCCCTACTCTGTTTATGTTTTCTCCTCTTGGAAACTTTGGTGTCGCGAGGTTGGAGCCACACATATTCAGCAGGCACCTCATATAGTAGAACGGTGGCTAAGCCGATAAGACTGAAAGAAGCGTTAGTACGGCTTTGATTTCTGCGCATATTAGCTACATACCATAGGAGCGAATATATGAAACCACTCGCAATGTGAACGTATGCAGTGTTCCAGGTCCAGTACTTCTCTCTACCAGTTCATAACATACCATATGTTAGCTAGGTACGTATGCGTGCATATTCAACGTATGCCTGGTGAAGCACAATGGAAAGCATACCTACTCCTTCATCACAATCCAAGCTTCCTGCTCCGCGGGGTCTTCAGGGAACTGATCGCCGACATCCCCAAGCTTCTCAATCTCGCTATTCTCCAGCTCATCAAGCAAGCGGCCGCGCTCCTCAAATACCTCGCGCACCCACCTGAGTTCCGCCGTCTTCCGCTTCGCGACGCCTAACATGACCTCATGCCTACGCGTCTCGAGACGCCTCTCTTTCTCCTCCATGAGCTCTTCACGTATACCCTGCTCCTCCCGCAGCGAATGGCAGTATCCCGCGAGATCATTGTCGCGCCACTTCCTCCATGCCCGGAAATCTCTGTCCATCCTCGTCCGCAACTCCGTCATGGCGGCCTGCATCTTCGTTTCTCCATCTTCTCCGAAGAACTCCCGCAGCTTCGCGGCGTACTGCTCTTCTATATGTCTCTCCTCGATCGCGCGAGCTACATACTCGGCTTTTAGCTCCGTCTCCCGCCGCGCGATCCGCGCGTCGTCTATCGCCCGGCCCGTTTCGCGCTCGAGATCATGGAGGTCCCGCATCCGTCTTCGCACGGCATCGCCCTTGATCGCGAGCTGGTTTTCGCGCTTCTCCTGGTGCTGCTGCACGGCTGTGCGCTGTGTTTCATGCAACTCTGAGATAACTTCCCGCAGCTCCTCGAAGCGCGCCGCAGCCTCCCGTCGTTCGGCCTGAAGTTCCTGGTGTCTCTTGCGCCAGCGCTCCTCGGCGAGTCGACGCTCCTTCTCGCGGAGGATCTGCGCGTTGCGCTCCTCTTCGAGCTCAAATTCCCGGACGAGGCGGAGCGCTTCCTGGATCTCGGCCTCCTCGCGCGCTTCACGGTCTAGCCGCTCCCGTCGGCGCGCCTCCGCTTGGCGCTTGAAGTGCGCGAGGTGCGTCATCGTGCACCCGCACGTCTGCCAGGGCGCGCCGCAGACATAGCAGAACTCTGCGCCACAGCGACAGGTCATATGCTGGCAGCCGTCGGAGTGCTCTACGAAGGCCTGGCACCGGTTGCACCGCTTCCATCCTGCGGCCTCGGCGAGCTCGTTCGTCCGGATCACGTCCTCGTCCTGCGGGCAGGCGTCGCCGGCGTGCTGCGCGTTGCGACAGATAATGCAGGTGTAGTGACCGTCACTGCAGCGCGCCAGGCCCTGTGCGAGAATGACGTACTCGGGCCGGATGAACAAACTGCATTCTGGCTGGCTGCAGTAGATCCTATCGGCCACGGGCTGGTTCCACTCTACCGCGCGCTCCGCGTACTCCTGCCATTGCTGGGGGCTGACATTTGAGTGGACTGTGGTTTCAGAGATGGTGTTCAGGCAGCATTTTGGCGGCCAGTGCTGCTCATTCTGGCAGGCTGAGGCAATGAGGCGGTGGAAGCAAGGTTTGCAGTAGTTGTGGCACGGGGCTCGGACAGTCTCCGAGGATGCAAAGTCATCCAGGCAGGAGACACACTCGCTATAGTATGATAAGTTTACTGCATCGTGCATTTCTTGGCGTTCTCTGCTGGCACTTACACATCAGGTGCTTCGGGCTCTTTCGCTTTGTTGATCAGGTCTGATACGATGCTTCTCTTTACTGAATGTGCTCTATATTCACCCGAGGAATGAGCAGCGCCGGCTGCGCTCGACTCTCCCTTCTCAGAGCCCTGGTTGCGTTTTCGAAATAACTTCATCAGGCCCCGGACTCCAGGCGGCCGTTTCGATAGTTCAGTTGAAAAAGGTCCCGAAGTGCCATCAGTCCTCGAGATGTCCTGGGTCGAGTGTAATGGCCAGTCTAAACTGTTCGTTGGACTTGAGTCTTCATGTTGCTTACCCTCAATACCTTTATCTTTGGGAACAACCGCCTCCTTTTCTTCGTTAGCCGCTTCGTCGTGACTCGGCTTCTCTGTTTCAGCCGCAGCTTTTCTCGCGTCTTCTTCGTCAGCTATCCGAGCTTTTACTCTGTCGATGGACTGTTGAATGATCTGCATGATCATTTCTGAATCAATGTCTCCAAGATACTTTAAGCCTTCTGGAGGCTCATACTTCGTCCAGTCGACCGTGAAAGCCTCAGATGACACCTCTATGGGAGGGCTATTATCGTTGCTGTTTTGTACAATAGCTTTTCCCTTCCCTTTCCACCTAGCGGCTCCATTATCGGTGTCATTATCGTGTTGAGCCCATGCATCCTGTGCAATTGGGCGAATCTCCTTTGCGGAGGAGTCTTGACTAACGATCAGCATGCGGGGAAGTCGGTCGTTGATAGAAGCAACTCTCGCAGGAGTGGCTTTGAACAGGCTTTGCGATAGAGTAAGCTCAAACACCGAGTTTCACGTGCTGCAGCTACCGTTGTGTTTTCTTCCTCCTCTAGATATCTGGCCGATTTCATTTAGTAGTAGAAAAGGTAGAGTGTGGCGTTACCAAAGAGTATAACGTATTAGATAGAACAGCTACCTAAAGCAGAAAAAGGAAATCAACTAGCTGGCTGAGAGTAAAATAGCTGCCTACTTAATTCTTTGATTATAAGTACATTGAGGTTAGGCTTTCAGTATGAACTCATATTGTCAGTACCAGAACAACTAGTAGAGCTCTGCCCTTCAGCCGCAATCACCGAATACCGTATTCATCGAGCTTGGATGCCTTACGCGATGATAGAAATGAATGGCCGTTTCGGCCTAGTGGAGCACGCTTTTATGTGCTTGTACAGAGATTAGGACTAAATCAAGCTTGATAGGTAAGAACGCATGTCAGCTGCTTGGGGCTGAGTCGGACCGGAGCGGTCTTGTGCATCCCTAAGGAGAGCGAAAGAGGCTATGTTGGAAGGCGGAATAACCTGGTTTCTCGCGTCTAGGTGTCTAGGTACTCGAACCTACCATTAAGACTTAGTCTCTCCCAAACATAGTGATTCTAGCTTTGAAAGGGAAAACGGTTGAATAACAAAGAGGGGTCTCAGAGGGTAAGCCTCGGAGGAATTCCCACGTTAGCTCACCGAAGTCTATTCTATACAAAGCACCCGCCACGCAAGGCAGCGCACGTGAAACATACTTACTTAGTGAATGGCCTGTGGCGTCCAACATTTGCCAAGACTCTCAACAACAAGCAAGGATTGTTGAAGCTTGTTACAACTTGGGTTTAGTCATTTACGCTAAGGTGGTCTCAAAACCCCAGATTGGGGATCGGAGATTGTTGTATGATTACTTAATTGTTTACGTCCGCCCGAAGTCAGGATACTACATGCACCAAGTATATAGTCACAATACAAAGATACAGATACGCATGGATTCGCTTAAGAACTACCGATAGAGTACACTAGAAACAGAACGTCAAAATCGCTCGTCTCCTACAAGCCATAGAATAGAGCAGACAATTATGTGGTGCTCCCAAATAACAATGGATTCTTTCCCGGGCAATTTTAGATATCATCACCAGTCCGCCCTCCCGAAACCAAACGGTGTTTAGTAAGTTCATAGCTTGGCACTATCCTTAACAAATTCGACCTTGTTAGTACACACACCGACGCCCTCTAATTCGACCTCGACGACATCACCATCCTTCATCCATAGCTGCGGCTGCCTTCCCATTCCAACACCGGACGGGGTACCGGTCCAAATTAGATCGCCAGGCTGGAGGGTGTGACCCTTGCTGAGAAACGCAATTGTTTGCTTGACATTGAATATCATGTCACCCGTGTTGCTCTCCTATCCGTTTTATTAGCGACGCAAAATATCCGCACCTGATATTCATTCTAGCTTACCTGCACGGTTTTGCCATTCAAACGTGTGCTAATCTTCAACGTGTGAGGGTCTTTGACTATTTTACTGCTGACAATACCAGGACCGTAAGGTGCCCAACCATCAAAACCCTTGCCCATTGACCATTGGCCACCGCCGCGCTGAATTTGCCAGTCGCGGTGAGAGACATCGTTACCAATGGCGTAGCCGAGAACATAGTCTAAAGCTTCAGACTCCGAGACGTCTGTACACGTCTTGCCAATGATGGCGACGAGCTCGCACTCGTAGTCGAGCCCTAGCGACTCCTGAGCCATTAGGGGCACCGGGATGCGATCTGTGGGACCCGCCAATGCTGTAGCTGGCTTGTACTAGGTGGTGCATATATCCTGTTAGCATTCGACCCCGATTGGACTTTGAGTGGATAAGGCTTATACGTACAAACAAAACGGGATACTTGGGAAGTGGAAGGCCGGACTAGTTCAATCGCCAATATCAGTTCTCGAATCTTGACGAAACACCTCTCACGAGGAATCAGTAGCTGGCGCCGGTGTAGTTAGCTGTTACCTCTTTTGCATGCAGAGCGTAGTTAAGGCCGAGGCATCGGACAGTCTTGACGTCTTCAGGAGCCAAGGGCGCTAATAGCAGCCTTACGTCGGCCACGTTCTCTGTAACCTCATGCTTCCCGAAGATGTCGCCAGTGATAACTTTAGCCTTCTTCGTCTGAGCAATATTTGTGACGCCCTTGGGCAATATGGCATCTCCGTAGTATACCTTGCCATCTCTGGCAAGGAAACGGACGAGTCGCTGTGAATTGGTGCCGCGTTAGCTGAGGAGGGATCGGAATTGCGGAATACTACGTAACGATCTTACCGAGAATGCGGGCATTACTTAGTTATGGCAGCTGGTGAGCGAGCACGCACGAGGAAGAAAAAGTAATGGACCTGGAGAGTGATAGCTAAATTACTATAATCCTGACAGGGGTATTAAATGGCGTTGGGTAACAGATGTCCATCGGAGATGTTTAGCCTATCAATCTACACGGTGACACCCAGATAGACCCCGATTTGCCCCACGCGGGAAAGACTTCGGTTGGATTTCCGACCGACCGACCGACCGATCAATGAACCATGACTTGCTCGCGTTCATTTTGGAGCCCATACAGCCGTCTCCGCGTACCTTAAATATTTACGCACCTCGTATTTCCATTTCAGAAGCATCATTTCTTTGTCTCGGAACGGTATTTGGAGCATCGAGAGTGAGTGCCAATGGTCGGTGTCACAGCCCTGGGGGCGCGTCACAAGTGGGTCTAAGCAAAGCGAAGCGGAGACGAGCCGCGACAGTGTGGTCACAAATGGAAGGCGGTCAGCTTTTAGATTGGCAGAAAACCCCAGCTCTGGAGGGAAGATAGAAGATAGTAAAAAAAAAAGTTGCGGACAAGCTCATCAGCGGACCCTTGTAACCTGTAGGTGGCAGCATTGCCAATTCCTACAAAATGGTTTCGGCAAACGCCACTTTGAAGCGCAAAGCTTCAATCATTGAGGCCAATGATGCTGCTGCTGCTACTGCGATACCCACCCAGAACGCCGACCCTGACGACTTCGGCGACGCGATTCTCAACGCCGTGTTCGACGATGACGACGATTCTGAAGACGAGTTCGTCGAAGAAGATGACCAAGACGACGATGAGTCTGATTCTGAGGACGAAATAGCAAGCGAAGACATACCTACCGACGACGAAGGAGTAGAGGACAAGTCGGTTCTCACCGATGGCGCTACCATCGAAGACGAAGATGAAGACGATCGTCCCAACTATAAGATTGAGAAAGACGCAAATGGCGGCGTTCGATACGTATACGACGAGATTGATCCGGTGTATGACTCCGACGATTCTGATGCGCAAGGCCCTATCAATACCGTACGTGTTCCGACGCGCCTGTGACCCCTAGCCCCGTTATGACCTCGATTACCCTGCTATACAAGCACGGCTATCGTGTGGCTTGAAAAAAAAAAAAAAAAAAAAAAAAAAAAAAAAAAAAAAAAAAAAAAAAAAAAAAAAAAAAAAAAAAAACCTCTATTAATCATGTATGCTAACATTGCGCTTCAAGATTGGAAATATTCCCCTCTCCTTCTACGACTCATATCCTCATATTGGCTACAACATCAACGGCAAGAAGATCCTTCGCCCGGCTACAGGAGAAGCACTTGATTCTCTTCTAGACAGCATTGAACTGCCTGAAGGGTGGACTGGCTTGACAGATCCTGAAACGGGCAAACCATTAAATCTCAGCCGTGATGAGTTGGAGCTACTTAGCCGCGTTCAAATGAAACAAGTCCCTGAAGAAGGCTACAACATGTATCCGGTGAGCATAGACGCAATTAGATTATACGAATTGCGTTAACTGACAAAATTGTGACAGGATACCGTAGAATGGTACACCAGCCATGTAGAACAATTTCCGTTATCTGCAGCTCCAGAACCGAAGCGGCGCTTTGTGCCCTCTAAGCATGAGGCTAAGCGTGTGATGAAACTAGTCAAAGCTATTCGAGAAGGCAGGATATTGCCATACAAGCCTCCTGAGGAGAGAGAGAAAGAGCAGGACGAAGAAGAGGAAGTGCACTACGACTTATGGGCGGATGAAACCCCTCGCCCGCCTAATATTATGCATATTCCTGCGCCCAAGCTTGCTCCTCCAGGATACGACCTTTCCTACAACCCTCCACCGGAATACCTCCCAACGAACGCAGAGAGAAAGGCGTGGGAAGAGACGGAACCAGAAGAACGAGAGAAATCATACTTGCCGCAAAAGTACGACTCGCTCAGGCGAACCCCTGCCTATGATCAGTTCGTTAAGGAGCGGTTTGAGAGATGCTTGGATCTGTACCTTGCTCCTCGCGTGCGGAAAAACAGACTCAATATCGATCCTACATCGCTACTACCAAAATTACCTCGTCCTGAGGAGTTGCGGCCGTTCCCTACAGTTGCTTCTATCGAATTCGCTGGTCATGAGGGGAGGGTGAGGTCAGTAGCCATTGATTCATCAGGCCAGTGGTTAGCCTCTGGTGGTGATGATGGTACTGTTAGAGTTTGGGGTCTCTCGGATGGAAGACAACAGTGGCAAGCCAAGCTCAGCAGTGAAGATCCTGTTGATGTTGTTAGGTGGCGCCCTGGCCAGGATGGCTTAATACTATCGGCTGCCGTTGGCGAGGATCTCTACTTGATGATACCATCCACCATAAACCCTGAACTAGAACAAGCCAGTCGAGCCATACTCGATGCCGGGTTTGGATATGCCAACAATGCCAAACAACAGACCACAGCCGCTGGTGCAAGGAAAGACCCTGCCGGCAAATGGTCTCGGCCTGGCGCGCGCTTAGAGGACGAAGGTGTTTTGCTGAAGGCGACCGTCAGATCACCTATCAAAACCATAAATTGGCACCGTAGAGGTGACTTCTTCTGCACGGTGTCACCAATGGGCCAACGTAGCGCTGTGGCTATACACACCCTGAGCAAGCATCTCACACAAATACCCTTCCGGAAACTACCGGGCGGTGCTGCACAGACGGCCTCCTTCCATCCTTCACGACCTCTGTTTTTCGTGGCGACTCAAAGGACAATACGCTGTTATGATCTGCAAAGACAAGAACTTGTTAAGACCATCCAACCGGGTTGTCGCTGGATTTCATCATTTGATATACATCCTGGTGGTGATCATTTAATTGCTGGTTCGTATGACCGTCGCCTACTTTGGCACGATCTTGAGATGTCAGTCCGGCCGTACAAGACGTTACGATTTCATGAACAAGCTATACGATCCGTAAAGTTCCATCCAGGCTCATATCCGCTCTTTGCGGATTGTAGTGACGACGGAACGCTTCAGATCTTCCACAGTAAGGTGGTGAATGACCTTATGGAAGGTCCTACGATAACACCGGTAAAGATGCTTTCGGGCCACCGCGTGGTTAATAGGCTTGGTGTAACGGATGTAGCATGGCATCCCCAGCATCCATGGATTGTGTCAGCTGGTGCAGATGGCATGTGTAGATTGTGGTCGTAGATGAGTTAATATGTATAAAAAATAAAAGAAATGATGCCAACATTCAACATATTCTGTTGTTCTGAAATATCAATTTAGCATGCCCTATCCATATCACGATCCGTGTTTTGCTGGACAAAACAATACACATAGCGTCTCTATCTATCTCTGCCTACTATGTATATACTATATCGCATTAGCCCCTCCTTAGGCCCGAGAATCAAGCAAGGCATGAAATCACCCGGTATCATCCTATGTATGCACTCCCGATCCACCCTGTTACAACGCATATACAAGGAGATCCAACCAGAGGGTCCACATTAGCTGTCAGTCAATTACTCCGGAAATTCAGAGTGTCCTGACCAATCGTCTTGCATGTGATTTGATCTACTTAGTCCTGCTTTTCCCTAAAACTGCTGCAACTGGCTGCTCCATGTAAAAGCCTCAATTTTTTATCGGTGGGCAATTCCTGCCCAACCAGTTTCCCACCTCTAATTCTGCCTTGCCTTTGTCCGTCAGTTTTAGGTATTAGGTGTTAGGCATCTTATTTGCCTCATATCATTCTCTTCTCTTTTCCTGTTTCGTTTAAATTTGGTTGTTTGGTCTTATCGTTGGGTTCTTTGACCTTTTATTACCGCTCCCTTGTCTGTGCCGTCGTCTCCCTACAATTGGGTATCTTCATATAGCGCTTTGCTGTCAAAATTAAGAATTTGAATCCTCTATAACTAATAATCTGCAAAAACAAATTAATTTTAACAGTGTTGGGCTTCTAGGTAAGGGTAATTCATTTCATTCCTCTTGCTAACCTCAGGGGAACTCTTGCTATCTACTAAATTCTTGCATATTCGTGCTGATTGAACTTCGAACAGTTGATAAAATCGTATTACCAAGAAAGACAAAGAACAATCACGCCTCGTCCCTAATTTTTCGCGGTTAAATGAGGTTGAAAAGATTATATGGACACATATCAACGAAACTAGAAGACAGCTGGTCCCTTGTGCAGAATAAACTCTACAGACGATAGGGCTCTACTAAATATACGCTTTCGACACTAGTCTCTGATGATAGACAGAGGCAGAACGAAACGGCCACAAGATACAAAGTACAAGACATGATTCTTACCCAAGATTTATGGCGAGGGTTAATATCTGGTTTCAACAATAATGGAGCGTCAGGGTTTATTGGAACAGGGGCCGATCTTTTCCCTTGAAGAAGTGCTGGGACGAAGAGAGATGAGGAACGAACGAAGTCAACGGTATCAAGGAGAACACACGACTCCGCAGTGCTTCAGGCTTTAAAAGTCCAAAACTAGGCAAGGCGTTGTCAGATCATGGCAACATGTCAGGAGAGATGCCAGAAGATGTTGTTTTTCCGGTCTACCCGTAATTTAAAGGATCGATAAATGCGCTTCCATTCTACGACGACAGTCATCTTCCTAGACACGAGGACGCATGATAAAAACAGCGCATATTTGCCACCCCGTTCGGAGTATCTAGGCGAAACGAAGTAGTTCTTTCGACAGCTTGCTTGCCTCCTTCACTCTTACAAAACTTGAAGGAAAACAGCAGAGACTCTACAAAGAATCTAGATGCGAAATGTATCTACGATCAATCTCCGATACCACTATATCGCACAGCCACCAGAAGCAAACACTGCAATCTAGGCATCCCTCTCTCTCTACCTCCCCCTTCCATACAGAAAAGGGGGCAGATTGACTTCCTCTAACCCAATTCCACAACTACAAATTAACAAATCCACCAAGAACCCGAAATCTTAAACGCAATTCTAGCCTTCTTTACTAATAAACCCCTGACAGCGCTATAAAACCCCTTCTTACACATCCGCGCAACCTATTCGCTCCTCCAGCCTGGTCAAAGTCAGCCACATACCTCAGCCGCTCGATTCTCTCACCGAACCAAAAATACGCTCTACTACAAAGGGGGTGCACCATGGCAAAGGAAGGCCAAAAAAAAAAAAAAAGGACGGCAAAATTTGTCATACTGTGCCCAATCATAGGAGCGGCTTACTACAGTATCATCAGTCTCAATTTCTGTGTGTGTGTGTTACAATGGCTGGGGACCACACACACACACACACATATATATATATATGTCACTCTTGTTGAGCCTAAAATTTGTGTGGGCAAAACACTCCTGTTCGATACATTTCGCACTTTAGAATCACGACCAAGGCTTTAACGAAAGAAAAGAGAGCGAGAGCGAGAGTATACGAAATAAAGAGCCGGCTCGCAAACAAGGATATTCGTATGAAATCTTGCTCGAAACTCGAGGCCGGGAATAAAAGAGGATTTCTGGATTTTTCGAGGACTTGAACTTTTAATCCCAAGAACGCGCCGGCGAATAATCTGCGGCTTCAGTCACTTCGTTACGCTACGCATCAGGAGGGGCAGAGTTGCGATACAATTAGCCCTCTTCTCCTCGAAATGGGGATTGAAACAATAATATGGGATGAATTTTTCATCATCTCTCCCTATGGGTCTATTAAAAGTATATACGGTATCATAAAACCAGTGAGCGAAATTTATCCAATCCTCAGAGCGGACATCAATACTATCTAACAGGCTTATTCCGTACCCTAATCTGCCTACTCAAGCGCCTGCATGTGCACGCAGAGTGGGTAGGGGTAATCGGCAATAAGGTATTCTGGAAATTTCGACCAAACTACCCTCTATCACAGTGCCATGGGCCTCGGCTTCAAAAAATTGGATAGGTACGGTACGACGCTGAAAGTGCAGTGGCGCACCCTTGCCATCCTTATCAAAGGATCTTGCATATGCCCAGATGTCACGGAAGATGGTGTGAACTACCCCGCAGCAGTGTTGTTTGGGGAAGGCGGGATCTAGTTATCCACAATGCCCATATATCCGCTGGAGCGGAGAAGGAAAAAAAAAAGAGAAAACTGCGGGAAAAAAGCAGAAAAGAGAAACATGTTGGGGTATGCTGCTGATGGAGGTGCGGGGGTGATAAGCGTCCCACGATAGCTTCAGCCCCGATGGAGAAATATGTATTGGGTAGCAGTATGACTGCTTTAAAGGTTCGGCCCGGATGTCAGCATGGCAGCGTAAGCTGAATCTCTAATCCCTACTTCTGCTTCAAATACAGTGCCTGGATGGTAACACCAAGCAGGGTGTCAGACATTGGTGAAATCCTCGACGTCACCGGCGAATGTCAATCGGATAACCGGATGTCGGCAATAACGTCCTACTTCTTTTCGGACAGCCCGTGAATTTTCTGTCGCTCGCTTTCCAGATTCTTTCCTCTATACGATCCGAATGCAGAAAAGGAACGTTGGCCGAAGAATCAAAATATGGGATGCGACATATAGAACTCTTTTCCCAGCGGAAGAGTACCTGGGATATAAGTGTACCTTGGTAAATTTGTGTTGTTTTTTGTCCTTTGCCATTTACACCGCCAATGCATGTGGATGTCGGTGAGGGTCAAAGGGAAAGGAGGCAAATGAGCAGTGTATCGGTCCTATAGTTGGACACGAGGATTCAAGGTGAGGATTACTGGAACAATCCAACTTTTGCGGACGCGCGTATATAAATGAAAACCCAGAATACCAAGCGGCGACCTGAAGGCCAAAGCGGATCTCCCTGACAAGGCGGTTGCCTAGTTCCAAGGTCCCTAGCAGGTAGCTACTGGGGACCAGTATCACCAACATTGCTATTCTCACATCATTGTTCTGACACAGCCATCTTCTTTTTCGTTACTTGAATTATCCTTGATCATCGACGTCGATGTTGACGATGTGGGATGAAGTATCAATCCATGGAGGCTGGCAGGATGCAGATGGCATTGCACCTCACGTGCAATCCTCGCAATCATCCAATGAAAGATGGGAATGGTAGATGGGGGTGCAAACATCCTCGAACTGCTGCCCAGCAGCACAGACGGTGTGGGCCCCCCACGTCTTCGTGGACTTGAGCGTTGACCTCGAGACCATGGTACAAGACGACTCCACGGTGCTCCCGGTTCGAGCCGCAGTCGAAGTCCGGATCCGAGAAGGAAGCATGTTAGACATGTCAAAGCCCAGTTGATCAGCGGGTGAGAACTGCGATCGCCCTTGGACCCATTCAGCAACCGAGCTGTAGGCATAGTCATGGTTCAGGGCGGCTACAGCTCCCTCGGTTAAGGGTTGCACGGCGCCGTTGTAGTCACGGTTCACGTGAAACAAGATGTGCGCTCGCACAACAGGGTCAAGACGGGGAAGAGCAGCTTGGGTGGCAGCTGCAACCTCATCTGCCATAACAGTGGCCGTGCTGTCGGAGGCGGGGTAGTGCTGTCCTGCCTCTTCCAACTGAGAAGACGCCATACGCCTCGGAGTCTGATCTGTGATGACGGCAGCTTGGGATACAGTACTGGCACCATTGGGCGACGAACCCCCAGCGGGTTGAGTGCTCAGGTTGAGTTGAGGAGGACGATCGAAGGTATAGTTATCTTCGAAATCTACCGAAGACTCGCGGAGATGAGGGATACGGTCCGACATGATGAATGCTAAGATCGAGCAGCGTGTGTGGTGGGGTTTGTATCAATGGAGCTGGCTTGGTTGATCAATCAGCCGACTCGACGACTTCTAAACGGTGATATATGCGGTGGATAAACAGCTTCCAAATGGCGGGCAGGAAAGATGATAACGACAACCGCCTTACTACGGCAGAGCGAGAAAGCTCGAAGGTACGGGTGGAAGGTGACGAGTAATGGTATGGTGGTGAGACGGGTCCGGTCTGTCGTTGGAAAGGGAAGTCAAGTGGGAATAGGTTATATATATGCTGCCGGAGTAGGTAGGTATTGTGTTTGAGTAGGCAAGGTTATGGGAGGGCTTCTCTTCTAAAGCCTTGAACTTGAAGTGACGATGGGTTTCCTACGGAAAGTGAGCGACAGAACGCAGACCAACCAAGCATACAAGAGACATCCTATAGTGTAGGTAGATGTTGGATGGCGAGAGAAAAAGAAGAGAGAGGCGATGAGGGGACGCAACGGCTTGCGTATCGTCCTTATACGTTTCGAGCTGGACTGACTTGGAAGCATCACTGCTCGCAACCTTACTTCGTAGATCTGGAGCCCAATGACAGTCGTTGGTGACACACATCCTCTTAAGGCACAGGACAGACACCACCCAGGACGCCGGTAGTTACGCGGTCTACCTATCCGTCGTGGTCGTCTCATCCTCCCACTACCTACCGGTACCTGGGTACGTAGGTAGACTTGCTCCCTACCTCCCTGCCTCCCTACCTACCTACACACAAAGGTAGGTACCGACCTTGTACAGTGGTAACGGCCCTGTCGAGTAGCGAAGCTGTCGAGGTCAACATGGGCTTAGAGTCACGGAGGAAGTACGGGACTGTAACCCGTGGTATCAGGGTACATGGTGGGCGAGGCGGCGTAGAGGTAGAGACGGTGGGGGGCAGAGTGCTTAAGTAGTCATGATGGCGGCATTGTCCAGCCATGAGTATTATTATGTAGACGAGGGCGTGGGTCTGCTGTAGCAGAACCCAGAGAGGACAAAATGAGACTTATGAAGCTTCCAGATGTACGAAACCCTGGCGTACAGCCGGAGATGTATGACCGACCCCTCCTCGAGCCTCTCGGAACAGCTACCTGGTATATACCTGTTAGATACAACATGTACCTGTAGCCCTTAAGCGCGTGTGCCAAGCTTTGGTGGGGGGAATGGGGTGTGCGGTCAGGATCAGGATATCGGAGGGGCATGGTGTGTGTAAAGGAATAGGTACCTAGTTTAGCAGTTATTATTTATTCCTATTTCTTACCTAGGTAGCTGATTAACAACTAGAGCCTCCTCTACCTTTATTCCTATAATTTTATTAAACTAATATCTTAACTTAGTGGCTACCTGTTTTAGCCAACAGCAAACCTACACCATGGTGTAGATATGTACCTACTATGTACATAGGCATGCATCAATGTATAAACCTGTGTTGGAGAATGTTGGTGAGTGCTGGAGAGTTCATCCCCGTCCCCATCTCCCATTTCCCATCTTCCATCTTCCATCTCCCCATCGCCTATTCTTACGTCAACAGGTACTCAGACTCATCGCCTCACTTTCATCTCGAGCAGCAGTGGTTTGTTCGTTCCTGTAAAACGTCGTCAGGTGACGAGCGATTTACTTGCCGTCGGCAGTGGCATACCCAGCCTAGCCAGCCGCGCCCCCGGTTCACGTGTCTTTGCTCCGTCCTCCTTCTTTAGGGTCTTTAGGGTCTTTAGGAGTTTATTATTTGCAACCAACTACCTAGCTAGGTAATGTCCCAAGCTTTTCTCTTGAGCCAGCCTTCATTCAACACTTCAAGCAGGCCTGAATCAAAGCCGGTCTGACACACTTAACTAGTACTCAATTCATAAGGTTGTTTGTCTGCCACAGGTTGTAAGTACTTCTAGTGGCCCGGAGGCTGGGCATTGGTTTCCTATTAGTCTCCGTGTTTGATCAAGATCGCCCACGCACTCATATCATGTGACTGTACAATGCAGCATAACATACCTACCTGGGTAATCGAGCCAGTGGTACATATGTGCATATGTGCTGTGATTCCTTCTATGGGCGGTTTCAACGTTTTCCATTACCCATACGGGCACCGTTGACTGATGGCTTGGTAAGCCCAGCCAATCAGTGGTCAGATACCAGAGCCAGGACGAAGTTGCGACTTGGTCATGATACTCGTATCGCTCCACCAATGACATAGAAACCATGCGTGGCTTTAGGTAGGTATTGCACGCCCAACAAGAACAAGCTACCTACCTAGGTAGCGGTATAACAAGTGGCTGGCAATAGATACCTAATACAGTAGTACATGTAGAGGTTTGGTCTCTCGTCGTGATCACGATTCTCACGCTAGTGGATGGAGAAGCTCAGCTTGACCAATACAATCGACGGGCACAAGAAGGAAGCCAATGTCGTAGCTGCTGTTGTCGACACCTCGCAACACCACGGATGCACAAAAGGCCAGAGCAAGGCATAAACAGCCATGCCACGCAGAGATGTTTCGTGCGGCTTGTATTGTGCAACACGACTACAATTACTTACCTACTGCGAGCCAGGTCAAAGATAAAAAGCTGGCGCTGTGAGAAGTTCATTCATGTGTTTGGGCACCAACGGTCTCCGAGCCCGACAATTATCCTGATAGGACCACTAACGGCAAATCTCAGATGATGAAATGTTTTGCCTTTTTCTTTTTCTGATCGTGCTTATGGTGTTGATTTAGGTAGATCAATTCACCGTCCACCGTCCACCGTACACTCGCTCACTCACCTTACTAGTACTTAGTTATGATTAGCGCGACAAACGTTCCATACAACAGCTTGAGCCAGGGCGAAACGGCTACTTTACTCGTCTTACCTGCCTCTCGGTGCTAGAGCCAGGAGGAGGGAAAAAAAAAAAAAAAAAAAAAAAAAAAAAAAAAAAAAAAAGAGCTCATCGTAACACGCGGGGGGGGGGTAGGGTCCAAAAAAAGCCCAAAATGGA